GTGCAAAGACCTGGAGTTAGAAATCCAAAAGGAAAGAACACTCAACATTTCTTAAACTGAGGGAACTGAAGAAAATAATTCAAGCCTCAACTTGAAATATAAAGAATGGTATGGGTAAAATAGTGAATGATGCAAAAAGCATCAAAAGAAGATGGAAAGAATACACACTATACTAAAAAGAAATAGTTGATGTTCAACCATTTCAAGAGGTTGCATATGATTAAAAGCCAATGGTACAGAAATAAGAAGTCTACGCTTCACTGAAGATATCGGCAAAGAACAGGCTCTGGGAATTGATGGAATACAAATAGAAATCTTTCAACAAAGTGATGCAGCACTGGAGGCACTCACTCATCTATGCCAAGAAATTTGGAAGGCAGTTGCCTGGCCAACTGATTGGAAGAGATTTGTATTTGTGCCCATTCCAAAGCGAGGTGACCCAACATAATGCAGAAATCATTGGACAATAGCATGAATATCACATGCAAGTAAAATTTTTCTAAAGATAATTTAAAAACACCTGCAATGGTAAGTTGATCAGGAACTGCCAGAAGTTCAAACTGAATTCAGATGAGGATGTGGAATGAAGGATATCATTGTTGAGATCAGATGGATCTTGGCTGAAAGCACAGAATGCCAGAAAGAAGTTCACCTGTGCTTTATTGACTATGCAAAAGCTTTGACTGCATGGAGCATGGCAAGCTATGGATAACAGTGCAAATAATGGATACTCCAGAACACTTAATTGTGCTCAGGAGAAACCTGTACATAGACCAAGAGACAATCAGTCAAACAGAACAAGGGGGCACTGAGTCATTTAAAATTAGGACAGGTGTGCACCAGGGTTGCATTCTTTCACCATACTTATTCAATTTGTATGCTGAACACATAATCTGAAAAGCTGGATTATATGAAGGAAAATGTGGCATCAGGATTGGAGGAAAAGTCATTAACAACCTGCCATATGTAGATGGTACAACCTTGATTGCTAAAAGTGAATAGGACTTAAAATGCTTTCTGCTGAAGATCAAAGACCACACAGCCTTCGACAAAGTTGTACCTTAATGGAAACAAAACAAAAATTCTCACTCTGGATCAATAAATAACATCATGGTAAGTGGGGAAAAGATTGAAATGGTCAAAGTCTTCATTTTTCTTGGATACACTATCAACTGGTAGCGTAGTGGTTACGAATAGGGCTGTGAACCGCTGGGTCAGCAGTTCAAAACTACCAGCTGTTACGCGGGAGAAAGATGAGGCTTTCTGCTCCCATAAAGGTGTACAGCCTCAGAAACCCTATATAGGGTCACTATGAGTCAGAACCGACTCCACGGCACATTACAACAACAACAACACTATCAACACTCTTGGAAGCAGCAGTCAAGAAGTCAAAAGACATACTGCATTGGGCAAATCTGCTGCAAAGATCTTTTCAAAGTGTTCACGAGCAAAGTCGTCAGTTTGAGGACTAAGGTGGGTCTTACCAAGTATTTTCAATAGCCTTATATGCATGTGAAAGTCAGACAATGAATAAGAAAGACTGTAGAAGAATTAATGCATTTGAGGTATGGTGTTAGAGAAGAATAATAAAAGTACCATGGACTGCCAGAAGAACAAACAAATCTGTGTTGGAAGAAGTACAGCCAGAATGCTCCTTAGAAGGCAGGATGGCAAGGTTTTGTCTCTCATATTTCATACATATTATCAGAAGGGACCAGTCCTGGAGAAGGATATCATGTTTGGTCAAGGGGAGGTTCATGGAGAAAGAGAAAGACACTCAAAGAGATGGATGGGCACAGTGCTAGCAGCAAGGGGCTCAAACAGAACACTGATTATGAGAATAGTGCAGGACCTGTACTGGTGGTTCAGGATGATGATAGGAAAGGGGGAAGCAGGAGGGCCTTATCTTTTTCCTCTTGTACATTCATTCCTTCACCATTCGTTGGGTGAATGTATGAATGTACAAGAGGAAAAGGATTGATACACTAAACACCAGACTAATAGAAATAAAAATAGGAGAAATCCTCTTCCCATAAAAAGTCAGTTCCAGGGCAATACACAAGAAGGTGGAGGGGAATGGACAAACAAGGCAGATGGGAGAACAATTAGGCAGATTTGCATAGATTAAGTGGGACAGAAGTAAATAATGATGTATGCACAACCTCGGTACAACAGGGCTCTGGGATACAGGGATTGAGACATGGTTGGAATGGGCAAAAGGGGGGAAACAATGTTAAGATGCTTGGCTGTCTTTTGAATCTTGGTTTCCCTTACATACCATTATAAAATAGATACTTGAGGTGAAGAGAAAGGAATAGCCAGATATATCACCATAGAAAGCTTGAAAGTCCGTCTTCTGCCTATAACTGATTGAAATACCAAAAATGGGACTACAATGTGCCCAGCGAAGGTGGCTTCCTGTGGAGCCTCTGCATTACATAAGACCATAGGTGGAATCCTGAACCCCATCCAGAATCTTCTGAGGTGGGAAATTTCCACTTGAAAGGCCAAACAGAGCAGCCTGGAGCCACTAGAAGAACAGAAGATACTTCTTGAAAGAAAGACCGACAGGAAAAATAAAAAAACAATAACGGCAGTTTGACTGACTACTACAAGAACAAGCAAGTTGCTCACCCAGGAGACATCAAGGCAAGTGGCCAGGTCCCCTGAGGGCAAACCCCCTTCCAACAAGACTAAGAGTCAGTTGGAATACATGCTCTGATTGGTGACCACGATGGTCACCAATAAGGGGAAGTGAGGGAAAAACAGCAATGAAGCAGCAAGCTAAGCCCTACCACGTTCAATAGACTCCTGTGAACCCAGGCGGAGACCTGGTTGGCCAGCAGTGTGGCAAGACCTGTGGACTCTTGGGCCCACAGTCAGTGACATAGCCACAGAAGACTTGAGTGGAGAGTGAAGCATCCAGCTGATAAGAAGTGAGGGCATACGCACAAGAACACCCACACTTGCAGATAATATCCACTCAACCTGGCTTCAATGGCTGGATGATTAGAACTCAACTAGAAGAAGAAAGAAGAGGGAAAAAAAAAAAGAGTAATCTGATACAATTTGATGAACTTGACCTACACCTATGGATGCAGTAGCTCAAAAGAGGGAACAAATGTCTACAGCGAGGATCATTCCCACCCCACACAGGGTAGACAAGGATGGACAAATTGGACACTGGCTACCCAAAATGGGGGTGGCACAAAGGCAAGAAATGACAGGCTTACAAGCTTTCAAGAGGGATCCTAGATCCAGAGGACGCGGAGGAAGGTAGAATCTCCACTAAATAGTATCCAATCTGTCAGGGCAGGGCTGATGAAAGGAGATGGGGATGGAACTCATGCAGCACAATAGTGAATAATTGTTATCAGGACAGACTGTGAGGGTTGGAAATGTAAAGGTAGACATTTTGTAGCAAAAGGAGGGGAGTGGTTGACTTTGCAGTCCAGGAGCGGAGGTCCCTAGGACCATCAAGGGAGAAGAGCGGAGTGCGGGACCCTACCCAGACAAGCAGTAATACCAGAGATGGAGGCAGAGATGATGACATGGAGAGATGGAGTGGTTGGGGACTCTAGACCCAGAGAGGGAGAAGTGCTGGGTGCTGAAGACCAGGGGGGCAGGCTTGTAGGGTATACCCTTTGGTTGGTTGATGATGCATGGAGGGGATTGTAACCGTGGCAATGAAACGATATATGATCAGATGAATGTAAAGCTAATGTTCTCCCTTGTAAACCATCACATAATTCACAATAAAACATTAAAAAAAAAAAAAAAAAAGTCAGTTCCAACATAGCAGGCAAAATGATAAAAATTTCTTAAGGCAACCAGGCCTCAGGACCATAATCTCAGGGGATACCATAATCGATTGGCATGACATAGTGGACAAAGACAGCGTTCTATATCCTACTTTGGTGAATCCAATCTGGGAGAATAAAAACTCATAAGTGGCTAAGTTTCAGCTATTGGTCTTTCCACGTGTAGAAGAAAGGAGAATGAAGAGAATTGAAGATGCTTGAAATCAATTAGTCCAATGAGCTAATGGAACATGTGAAGATCACTCTCCATGACTCTGAGACCAGAAGAACTAAATGGTGTCCAGTTACCGCTACCAATTGCTCTGAAAGGGATCCCATTAGAAGGTCCCAGATAGAGCGGCAGAATGTGTGGAACAAAACTCAAAAAACAACAACAAAAAAAGTCTGGGCTTGCTAGTCAGAAAAAGACTGGAGGAACCTTAGACTTAGATGATCATTCATCATCCTTCGGGTATGGAAAGAACTCACTCTTGTGGCCCAACTTTCAGCAAAGCAGTAGATAGGTATATAGGGGGAATGACAACAGTAGTAAGGTATGTTCACTATGAATGACAGAGCAGTCAATCATCTGGGATGAAAGGGCCCCATGTACCTAAAGACAAAGGTGAGAAGAGATGGGAAGGTGGGTGGACTGGAAATAGGAGCCACAGGGAAGAAGTAGGATAACTGTTGGTCCTCAGAGGGGATAGCAATCATTGAGATAAAACAAAGTGTAGGATTTGCTGAATGTAATACTGATGATCTTGTCTGCAAACCTTCACAATACAAAGTAAAAAAAAAAGCTCCAAAAAATTTTCTAAAGTGTAACAGGGAATTGGCTAAAATCTAGGTCCCCACGACTGAGTATAGCACTGTAGGATAAGCACTGGACTGCAAGGACAGGTTGAACCACAAGGTTAATAGTTCAAACTCACCAGCTGCTCCTCGGAAACCCTATACAGGGTCACTATGAGTTGGAACCGACTCCACTACACTTAACAACAACAACATAAACCCCCATCGCTAAAGTGTAGAAGGAAATTAGATAATATTGAGTCAAGTTTACCCTCTAGAAGCTCCAAAAGGTTAATGATTAGAAAATATCATTGAAACTTGTAGGTTTGCCATGGGGGAAAATGCTTCTCCCCTACTTGCCAAACATGGAGACTGAAGAAGATGAATGTAGGTGGAACTACTTACCACTTCTCTTCTTCTACTTGAACTCCTACAGACTGGAACTTACTGGGCACTTTATTCTCTCCTGCTTTGTCAGGTTCTTCAGTATCATCAACCTGAAAAGATACAATCAAATAAACGGAGGCTCCATTTTAGTCACCTTAATTGAAAATCAAGTCACGTGCCATCATCAACATCCGTAATATTACTGGAATGCTTTGTGATTTCTGGCGTTTTGTTTAAGATTTTTGTATTTGATGAGATCTATCCTGGTGTGGCACTGTAGGATAATCACTGGACGGCTAATCACAAGTCAGTGGTTCAAACCCACTAGCTGTTCCTTGGAAAGAAACCCTTTACAGGGTCGCTATGAGCCGGAACTGACCCAATAGCACTTAACAACAATCACCACCTCATGAGCATGCTCTCTGACTTTGCTGATCTTGATGAAAAGCAATTTTGTCACTCACAAGTGCCTGATAAATGTCTGTTAACCCTTTGTAGATTTCCAAGTATGTGTTTCACAAGAAGGGAGCACTAACAACTGCTACTTGAAAACATGTTATTGGAAGTTTTGCCTTTGCAGATGATATAAAATGAAAGGAGGAATTGTTCATATTAGGTCGATTCTACTCTGGGAGATGTAAGTATTAACTTTATTAAGTTATACTATAGATTTGTTTCTCCCTTGTACTAAGGAATTGACTTTGAATATCACTCCATATTTTCTGAATACTATATATATAAGCTCATATAGAAGATGTGCCCATATCTAATTGACAATTTATGTAGCAGATTTGTTGTTATTGTTGCTAAGTGCTGAGGACCGGCTGCTAAGGTTGAACTGCCAACCTTGTGGTTAAAATCAATTTTGCAATCCAGCGCATTAACTCACAGAGCCACAGAAGGATTCAATGTAGCAGATTATGCCCAACCTAAATTTTAAGCAAATTTTAGGAATAATCAGAGAATAGCTCTATTCCTTCATTTTCAAAGTATTTAAATATTTTTTTCTAAATATAAAAACAATTCAACATCAGTTATATAACATTAAAATACAGAAATAGATAATGTAGAAAGCAAAAGTCCCCCAGGAATTAGTCAATCCTTAGATGCATATTTGCCCTACCTCCCTCCACGTATGTATAAGGGGGTTCAAAAAGTTCATGGAAAACTTCCACAGTCTTTTCATTCCATTTTCCCATGAACTTTTGGAAGCTCTTTTTTATATACTCTTGTATATATATATACATAGCAGGAGAAAGATGAGGCTTTCTGCTCCTGCAAAGATTTACAACTCAGGCACTCTATACATGGTCACTATGAGTCGGTGCCAACTTGACAACAAGCAACACCATACATATATAAACAGAGAAAGAAAGGAGGACAACTATGCATCAAAGGATTCACTAATTCTTGGGGAACTTATGCTTTCTACATTACATATTCCTTTGGTGGAATCAACAGTTAGGTACCTGACTACTTACAAAAAGGCTAATGGTTCAAATTCATCCAGACATACCTTACAAGTCAAATGTGACCTTTTTTTTTTTTAATGGAGTGCAATTCTACTCTACACATTTGGAGTCACCATAAGTTAGAAGGGTAGCGTAGTGGTTACGAATCAGGTTGTGAACGTTAAGGTCAGCAGTTCGAAACTACCAGCTATTCTGTGGGAGAAAGATAAGGTTATCTGCTCCCATAAAGATTTACAGCCTTGGAAATCCTGTACAGGGGCGCTATGAGTTGGTTCTGACTCTGCGGTAACTAACCACTATCACCATATAAGGACCCCTGGTCGTGCTGTTGAGTAGATGCTGTGCTGATATATACATATAGATATGTGGCGCTGTAGGTTAGTGTGTCAGACTGCAAAGCCATTTGAACTGCAAGGTCAGTGGTTCAAACTCACCAGCTGCTCCTTGGAAACCCTACACAGGGTCGCTGTGGGTTGGAATCAACTCACCGGCACTCAACAACAACAACATAGGTATAGATTGTTGTTAAGTGCCAGAGTCAGCTCCGACTCATAGCCACCCTGTATAGGGCTTTTGAGGAACAGT